CCTCCCTCTCCCTTTCCCTCTCACCTCCCCGCTTCTCCCCTCTTATCTCCCTCCCTCCCCTCCCTCTCCCTCCCTCTCCCTCCTTCCTGCCCTCCCTCTCATCTCCCTCCCCTCCCTTTCCCTCTCATCTCCTCTCCCTCCCTCCCTCTCCCTCTCATCTCCCTCTCCCCCTCCCTCCCCCCTTCTTCCCTCTATCTCCCTTTCCTCTCCCTCTCCCTTATCCTCCTTTCCCTCCCTCTCCCCTCTCATCTCCCTCCCTCCTCCTCCTCCCCACAGACTCCACGACTTCGACGAGAACCTGCGCCTCGACGGCCTTGAGCTCCTCGCTGCCCTCGGCCACGTCCACGGCGATGACGATGACGACGACGACGACGAAGGAGGGAGGACAGGGAGACAGGAGGACAGGGGAGGACACGGAGGACAGGGGGACTGAGCGAGGAGCAGAAGAGGATCCGAGAGAATTTCATGAGGCCAGAAGTGAGGAGGATTTCCGATTGTATATCCGTGAGTGTCGTTTTTTTTTCTTTCTTTTTTTTTTTCTTTCTTTGAGGGTGGAATAGTTTTGATTTGTTTATTTTCTTTTTTTGTATTTTGTATTTGTTAGTTTTTTCTACTCTCTCTCTTTCTCCCCTCTCTTCTCTCTCTCTCTTCATTCCCCCCTCTCTTTTTTTCTCATTTTCTTTTCTCTCTCTCTCTCTCTGCTTTTCTCTTTCTCCCCCCCCCTCTCTCTCTCTTCTCTCTCTCTCTCTTTCTCTCTCTTCTCTCTCTCTCTCTCTTCTCCTCTCTCTCTCTCTCTCTCCTCTCTCTCTCTCTTCGCTTTTTTTTCACTTTAACCTATTTCATCTTGCCTTCATTCCAAAAAACGCCTTCACCTCAACCCAATCTCCACCTAATCTTCGTCTCAATCCAATCGAGACCTTAATTATATCAATTAATCCTTGGCCCAATTAAAACGTACTTCTAATCCAAAATCTACTAATCCTTGAAACATTCCAGAACCGTTCCACCCTAATCCCAAAATCCTAACCTATCCCTAATCATACCTTAAATCTAATCCCTTAAACCAGACTCCCTAACTCTAATCCCTACTCTAATCCCAAACCAAACCTAACTTAATCCTAGTTTTAACCCAATCAAGACCTAAATCCCTAATAATTCAAGACCAAAATCAAGACCTAACCTAACCCTAATCCCCTAATCAAGGACGTCACTCTAATCCTTAATCAAGACCTAACTCTAATCCCTAATCAAGACCTAACCCTAATCCCATAATCAGACCTAACCCTAATCCCTAATTAAGACGTCACTCTAATCCCTAATCAAGACCTACCTAATCTCTAATCCCTAATCAATCAGACCCTAACCCTTTTGATCCAAAATCAGACCTATCCCTAATAAAAGACCTAACGATCAATCCCTAATCAAAATCAAGACCTAACCCTAAAATCAAGACCTAACCCTAATCCCAAAAGAACCTAACCTAAATCAAGACCTAACCCTAATCCAAATCAAGACCTAACCTGACCTAACTCTAATTCCCTAAATCAAGACCTTAACCCTAATCGGCAAATCAAATTCGAAGACATAACCCTAATCCCAATCAAGACCTAAATCCCTAATCCCAATCAAGACCTAACCTAATCCCTTAACCCACCCCAATCCCAAATCAAGACCTAACCCTAATCCCAAATCAAAACCCAACCCTAATCCCTAACCCAGACCTAACCCTAGTCCTTAACCCAGACCTACTCTAATCCTTAATCAAAACGTCACGTGTAATCGCCAAATCAAAGACCTAACCCTAATCCTCATCAAGACCTAACCCTTAGCTCCTTAACCCAGACCTAAACCCCTAATTCCCTCATCAGACCTAACCCTAATCCGCTAAAAAACCAGACACTAACCTAATCCTAAATCAAGACCTAACCCTATCCAAATCAAACCTAACCCTAATCCCTAACCAGACCTAACCTAATCCCTAACCCAGATCCTAACCCTAATCCTAACCCGACCTAACCCTAATCCTTCATCAATCCACCCAATCCCTAATCAGACCTAACCCTTAATCCCTAATTCAGACCTAATTTATCCCTAACCCTTAGGACCTACCCTAACCCTATCAAACCTAACCCTAATCCCTAATCTCAAGACCTAACCCTAATCGCCTAATCAAGACCTAACCCTATCCCTAACCCAGACTAACCCTAATCCCTCATCAAGAACCTAACCCTAATCCCGTGATCAAGACCTAACCCTAATCCTCATCAAGACCTTAACCCCTAATCCCCCTTACCCAGACTAACCCTAATTCCCTCTATCCCAGACTAACCCTAACCGCTTTCATTCAAGGATCCTAACCCTAATCCCTAATCCTTAACCAATCGCAGAACTGATCGACGAGGTGTTCGAGGACAACGACACGGACAAGGACGGGTTCCTGAGCTGGGGGGAGTACCTGAAGGGGCGGCAGAGGAACGACGAAAAGCGGAAGGGAGTGTAA